TTTTTTGAGTCTTCTCAAAAGTACATAATGTTCCCCGTTCATATTTGAGCTTCTCATTGATGTGTATAAACTCTTGATCTTACGCTTTTTCAGGCTCATTTTGGTTGCAGTATTGAAAACAATCCCCTTACTGAACTTTGGGACTTTTTTAAGTGTTTTTTGACTTTTATATAAATTTCTTTATTATTAATTTCGTAGACTTAAGTTAATTTTACATTAACCAAATGCAACAAAACTTTGCATAACCAAGTTATATTCTTCACTCTGAAATTTTGGTGTAGCAGCTTTTCTCTTTTAATGCTGTTGAGCTGTGCATCTGGTCATATAAAAGAAAGGTTCCTCTATTATTCAGCAGCCTCCTAGATCAGACTCGCCTCTGTCAGACCTCATATTATTTATTTATAAATTCTGAGACTGTATCTGATTTCAAATACTCCTGCGCAAATGCTTTCCAGGAAATGAGACACAAATTCAAAACAAAATCACAGAGGATTGACGATGTGATCCTATTTTTTTTTTTGTTTTGTTTTGTTTTTTGTTCCCTTCCCACTTGATTCTGCCAGAATTAGCTTTTGCCCCTGTGAGACTAGCATGGTAATCCTCAAGCATGACATCTCATTTAACAGGATGTCGTGAAGCAAATGCTGACTGCATGTTTTCTCCCCGATTTCCTGTGGGCGAGCGGGTGGAGGCGGGGAGGGCTGCTGGAGATGTGTGCATTAGTTTATCGGGGGCAGCCTAGAAAAGAGGAAACAGGAAAGAGAGATAAACACGTGCGCGCATCTTTCTGTGTGCCCAGCCTGACGATCCGGTCGCCATCGCAACCACAAGGCATGCATCGCATTGCCGAGGGGGGGAAACCTTGGAACTCTGAAAACAGCTAAGTTGCAGAAAAATGTCCACAAGCGTCTAGCTTTGAGTTTTTGCTGTGATCTTTAAGAAGAAAAAAAAGGTAATTGCCGTATTTTTCACACAGCTGACAGAGAGGTTCCAGATACGTAGGCCGCTTGGCCTTCCCAGGTAGATGAATCGCGCTCTGTGTCCCCATTTCATTGCACTCCCTCCTCCTCCTCTTACCCTCCTTTTTTGCTCCCCTATGGTTCAGCAAAGGGTTTATTTATTAGATGGCACCAAACTGCAACCTCTGCTGCAGCTAATGCACCGTCTTTGTACCAGTTTTTATTGCACAGAGAGAGTAAAATACCAAGAGGAGGAGAAAAAAAAATCATGGATTAAAGTAAATATGCTGGCAAATAGAGACGAGGAGGCTTTATATTGAATTATGTTGCAAATCTGTCAGATTTATCAACGGGGGGCTGGAGGCTGTTCTTCTGGGCTTTATTGCAGGGCAGCCTGGTTCAGCAAGTGATGTGCTTTTTTTTTTAAGAGCTTGATCTTTAAAGGACTGATTTATATATTTCAGGCATTTAGCAAGTATTATCAAACCAAAAGTATAATTTCCTTTATTTCTTGTTTCCTAATCTTGTGCTGCAGCTTCTTTTTGCTCGTCTGTTTTATTACGAATGTTCTGTGACTCCCATAAAAATGAGACCGCAATTCATTTCTAAACGATTTCCTCAGATAAAATGAGTAACCCGGTAATTCATATATTGTTTCAGTTTCAGCATTCAGTCTTCACCTGTTGCGTAAAACCTCTCTAGTCGAAGGTATCCTCGTGGTTCCTTGTCTGTTCCCAAGTGGTTCTACATAGAGATTTCACATTAAAAGGTGTTGAAAAAAATTGTAATAATTCATTGCGGCGTTATGATGCGCTGTGTAGAGCATCAGTTTTTTGGTATACAGTTTCTCCTTTTCTCAGTTCTCTCTTTAGAGAAGTCGTCTTTTCACCACCTGCTCTTCTGCTTTTCACGTGCCGTTCTTCGCTCCTCCTCCTCCTCAGACAGGAACTGCATCATGCCTCTCTCCATCCACCAGCGTCTTCTCATCCGTCTGCTGCTGTCCTGTTAATTGGCTAACATGTGCTCCGTCCCTACTCTCTTGAAGGAGGCGAGCATCTCCTGAAGGCATCCGGTGCCGTTTCCGGAGAACCCTCGCTGGTTCAGACCAGGTTAACCCAGTGAGATCCACTACTGGAGACCGGGATCGTCTCTCTTCAGCCTCCAGCTCCTGGATATCTTCACGCTTGAGAACAGGAGAGCAATGTGACCCCTGGATTGGATGAGGACCATGGGAACTGTTACTAGAGTCGCCACGCTCTGAATCAACTCTCATTCAGGTAATGCAGAACTCTACACGCATAACTGATTAAAATTTTTATTGTGATTGAGTTTAAAATTAGACCACATGAGAATTTCATTCGTTTTAGCGAGTGTTACAAGGCACCAGCTTTTTGCTGCACTCAGAGAGAAGTTTCTCACAAGTTGACGACATGGTTTCCCTTAAATCGACTTCCTCATTTTGAATATTCACCGCTCTGACCAGCAAAGAAGACCATAAAACAGGAAGTGGGACAGGCCAGTGAAAAGCAAATGACAGTCAGACCAAAACAACTTAGTGCTCTTAGTAGAAATCAGCTGCATTTTCATTTCAAAATGCAGTTATTTACATGATTTATTTGTGGATATGAAGGCAAGGGAGTTTGGGGGGAACAAAAAAAAAAAAAAGAAATCTGATTAGCATTTGGATATTTTTTGGTATTTTGTTGATTCTGTTTGAAGTTTCAGCCTCAATAAATGAAACATTTCTTGTTCGACTTTTTTTCATAAACAGTAAACAGATTCTGAGTCTCCAGTCTCCCACTGAATTTGTTAAACTTGTTGCCACAGAGCACACGCTTCAGTTGTGACCTTAGCTAACTTTTGAATTTCGCTATTAACTTCAGATTTAATCCTCCTTCTTTCTGTATTTCAACTTCAGTGTGTGATGTAGGGTTTTTTTTTAGGCAGTTCTTTAGATGCACATATTTAACATATAATTTCCTACTTCTGCCACTTCAGGCTTGAATTTATCATTTGAGCCATATTGTCAACATACTTTGGGAAACTATGAGCAATTTCTTGGTGCTCTGACTATCCCTCTTTCTTTTTTCAGTTCCCTTACATTCTGGAGTACTCTCAGGTGTTTCCAACTTGCCCTAAAGCTATTGGCCAGGTTTGCTTTCATGATTTAAAAAAGGTCAAAAAATGGACTGGGATAAAATCGAGACAGATTATATTGAACATCCATTATTCTACATGGTCCTGTTATGTGGTCTGCACTTCTTAAACTGAGAGAAGTTGGAGAGTGAGAGGTGATGACTTACGGACCTCAAGATTTTTGCTGATAAAGGTTTGTTGTGACTTTTAAAGGGCCGCGTTACATGAATGTGTCGCTGTCTGTAATCCCTGGTATTAATCAAGGTTCCTGGAGCTGCAGATGATGGCCGCTGGGATGAGCCAGCAGCTTGGACACACTTTACAACATATTTTCCAGTTGCACCAGGTCCCATGTGCAACTATTTTACAAGGTCATTGGTGGGCATAGCAACATCCAAAGCTGTTGTAAAGTTTTTGCTCTCAGCACAGATCACTTCCTCTAGTTTTGAGTTGATCATTATTTGAGTTGGGTTGCTCTCGCCCGGTCCTGTGTGTAGTGATTTATTGACCGCCTGAGTTTAAAAACCACTTCCTAAATTACTTTTCTGATGGTTTGATTGAAGTGATCAGTAAATACGATCAGGTCTTCATAATTATAGATTTTAATATCCTCGTGTGTTGTCCTGAAATGTCACAGATTAAAGATTAAGTCTGTGATTTGTGCTCCTGTTTGGATTCGGTTCTGTCTGACTGTCGCACCTTTTCACTGCTGCTCGGTTCTCATCTGGTTTTAATGACATGAACTTTTACTCCGTGTGTTTTGACACTGAAAAGTTGATGGAGTCTCTGTCAGCTTGTATCTTGTCGTGCAACACGGCGGCTCCATTAAAACCCAGGCGTCCCGAACTGACACGTCAGCCCGAGCTGAAAGATGTCACTCATTCTGCCAGACGGGCCTCCTGGAAGGCTGAGCGCAGGTGGACAGACAGGCTTCAGGTTTTCCTCGACGTGTTAAAAGATCACGATCAGAACACTGTAAAAACTGAATAACAAATATTTTTGAGAAACGATTTCACCCAGTTGCCATATCAGATGAAACTTTCTGGTTCCTCCAGTGCTGCTGTTCACCTCGTCTTTTAAAGAAAATGTTTTAAATGTCATAGGATCTTCTGTCTTGATTGTTATTGATAGCAGTCCAAGCGTGATCCCCAGGGCTTCAAAGTATATCAAAAAAGCAGGTCTTGGTCCATCCATCTTTTTTCAACCAAACTTCACTTCCTCTGTTGTATTAGCATTAATAAGTGTATCATCTTTAGTGTCTTTTTGCTGGGTGGGGCCTCAGGGCTCCATGCTAGGACCTCTCTTTTTCTCTCGCTCCATCGCCCACTCTTGGGTTCTGCTTTGAGGACATGTTTGAATTTAATTTCATTGTTGTGCTAATGACTGCCAAATCTACATTCCTGTGGAAAAAAAACTTGAGGCTAAGTCTGTTCATCTGTTGTTACAATACCTAAATGAAATCAAAGCTGGGATGCCCCTCAATTGTTTGTGCTTCACTGATGAGACTGATTTCATGTTTTTGTTCGCAAGTTCTTCTCCACCATATGAAGTTTGTCTCTTAGACTCTATTGAAATCCACTGCTACCAATCTGGGGATGAGATTAGAGAGCATCGTTGGATGTAAGACACAAAAACAAGCTTTTTCCAACTGTGACAAGTTGCCAAAGTCAAGACCATTTTGTCCAGTCATCACTTTAAAAACATCACACTTTTATTACATTACACTTTGACTATTGCATTGTGGTCTATTTCAGGGCCAGCCATGCTGCCCTCTCTTGCCTTCAGCTTCTATAAAATGCAGCTGCTTGTCTTTTAGTTCGATCACACAGGCAAGAAAACATTTCTCCTTTGCTGGCTGCTCTTCAGTGCTCCCTCTGTGCAACAGAATTGATTTTATTTATTTATTTATTTTTTTGTTTTTAAACATCCTAATGGCCTCACTTCCTGCCTTCTCTTGGACTGGCTTCATCCTTCCTCTCCTTCACGGTGTCTAAGGACAGCTGACCAAATGCTTTTGGCAGCCACTTGTCTCTAAATGCATGTGAAAGTAAACAGGATTGGATTGCACTGGATTAGGTGAGAATGCAAAGTTTAGTGGAAGGAAAAAGTGTGGTTGAAAGAAGTGCCCTTCTCAGATGAATGTACATTTTGCATTTCATTCAGAAATCAGGGTCCCAGGGTCTGGAGGACAAGTTGGAGAGGCACAGAAATGCAGATTGCTTGAGGTCCAGGGTTATGTTTTCAGTGATTTTGAGAGCCTGGTGACATTGGTCGTCTGTGTTTTATCAAATCCAGTCACAGCTAATCTTACATTGGAACCGCAACTTTCAAAAATAATGAAGATCCACCTATAAAAACAGCATTTCTCAGCACTGTGTGAAGCTATAAATTACAATCACAAACCAAAGATATGAAGTCTTTGACTTTTACTCTTACTAACTTTGTGAATTTGTCCTTGAATTAATAGAAATCCCATGTAAAATGGTAAGAGAGATGCAAGAAGTGCGTCTTGATTAATATGCATTTACAATATTTTGTCTCCAGCAAGCTGCTTAGTGATAAGCGGAGGCGCATGACCATGAGACAAGGACGAAAGGAAAGTGAAGATGAAAACATTTAAAACAAAAGCCATAATCAGAACATAGTGGAAAGAAGGAGAATACTGTGTTTGTGTGGATAAGTCATCGGCGGCCGGTTGTGTCTGGATCTGTCGTATCCAGTTTGTTCGTCTGGACTGTGTGGCTGCCTTTTGCTCCCATTTCCCTTCTGGAGGGGAGCAGCACAGGAAGGCCGGCTGCAGAGGAAAGGAAACGGTCTTCATCAAACAGCAGATGGAGGACAGTATGTGCTTACACGGCAAAAAAAACCGCAAAAAAAACCGCACATAAATAAAAAAAGATAGAGCGGGTGCTCAATCCTTAAGGTAGATTTTATGCAGAGTGTGTCCTAGATCAGACCTGGCAAATGTCAGCTGTGGAGAATCTTGAACTTTAATACAGATTGAGAACATTTTGGCATTTAAGATCCACTTTTCAAAGATTTTTTTCTGTAATTGCAGCAACACTTTTACTTATGCAGATGGTTTTTTTTATATATTTCTACTTCATTTATATATGTATTTCCTAATAATAATTGTAATAATAAGTAAAAAAAAATTGTAAGCTCTAATAAATGTTGAAAAATTATTGTTGCAGCACAATTTTTTTTTACCAGTGGTGGTATTCAGGGCTTTGTTTTAGGCCTCCTTCTTTTTCCTGTCTGTCGTTTACGTCTAGGTCACATTTTCAGAAAACATTGCTTCCATTTTCTTTCTATGTTGATGACAATCAGAGTTATGTGTCAAAAAAAATGGCTTGCAAACATGCAATTATTTAAATTGTCAACTGTCAGTTAGTTGACAATTTAGCAGTGAGAGCAGTGAGAGGCGGGCCCCAAGGGTGCAGGAACAAACAAACTATTAGGGCAGGAGGCGGGGAGGCATTATTTTTAAAATGTAGTATCTAATGTTTTTTGCTAGCTAAATTAGCATAGTTTTTTTTATAATAGGAAATTACAAAACCTAACAGATTAAAAATACAATTGTATTTTATTTTTTTTGCCCCTTTTTATGGCACACACTAGACTCTTGACACCTTCTGCATTTGCCTGTACTGGCTAAGCAACAGGCTGGCCCTGCTGTTAAATATAGACTCAACGTGTGACTGAGGTTTGTGTGCTGACTTATTTGATATCACGTCTAATACTCAGCGGCAACTTTTCTTGAAGAATAGTTTTGTTCCCAGGATTGGATTTTTTTTTAAGGGTATGCATTAAAACAAGCTTTTCCTAATCATTTATCAAGTTTCTTCTGTCAGGATGATGTATTTCAATTTTAGGCCTTCCAATGCATTTTCTTGGCCTTTCTGTCCTTGTAGGTTTTGACACGACTTCCTCTCCCTACCTAGGTCTTTGATTTCAGCAAAGCAAAGATCTTCCTCTGACCTTTCAGCAGAAATTTCTGTGGATGATGCACTTCCTTTCTTTCTTTTTGCAAGTCTCCTTTGACTCCGACCAGTCACTTGCTCGTCTTATGGTGTGCATGTGGAGTGAGAGGGGTTTTCTTTTTCATTCATGTAACAAGCCTGCTTTGCAGGGAGGACAATGAGACTCACTGTGGTGCCCATGGTCCCACTGAATGACTCATGTTCCTATTGAAGTCGGACAAAGCCCGAACGACAGGGTTACACAATGTTAATCAACAAAGTGCAGCTCATAATGTGATCAAAAAGAGGGCTGTGAAAAAATGTGCAAGGTTGAGGTCCGCGGCCTGGGTTTGTGTGACATAATTATCGTGCTTTCACTTCCATCCTCTCCTACAAGGAATGCTTGTGACTGCTGCTGCCCCTCCTCTCCTGTCTGAACCATGCGCCAGAACTAGAGTTGTTTTTGTTTTCCGGTTGTTTCCCCAACCTGCTGTTGCCTCGAGTGTGATAAGCGAGCATAAAGGAGCTGTTATTCCCGAAGATGAATAACCGCTACTGTGAAGGGCCGGTTTTGCTATGGCAACTGGGGCCGTTCAGCAGCGAAGTCCTGCTTCGCCTGCAGACTGGGGGCGCGTCATGAACCAGAAGACCCACTGCTTAAGGAGAAGGGTTTTACAGCCCGTGTCTGCATGAAGCAGACCTGTCTGCAGAGCAGCAGAGGCAGGCTTCTCATCCTCGCAGCATGGACTCTTATCCATTCTGCTCCCTTTTCCTCCTCCAGAATCAAGTGGCTTTTTGTTCTCCCACAGCGGTGCTTATCGCTCGTTTCTCCACGCCTGCCCTCCCCGCCCCTTCTCTTTGGGAATGAAAGGATATTTTGGGTGATAGATCTTGTCTTCCTCCCACAGATCCCACAACACTTTGTTTTCCCCCCAGAGTCAGGTCTGTTTAACCCTCGCCTTAGTGCTGACGCGAAATCAATTTCATGCCAATAGGAGAAAGGGAAAAAAAATTTTTTGTGGATTATCATGATTACAGGCACTGACACTGCAGTTAATTTAAATTCACTTGACTGAAGTGGGTTTGTTTGTCCCACAGGGTTTCTCCATTGCCTGTTATTTCTGCGCTTGGTAAACATAAGGAAGAGCCATGCGTACTCCAGGGAGACAGTACGTTCGGTTGTTAAACTCAGAGAACATCTCATTAGCTCTTGTTTGGTGAAAATTACAGTATTTTGTGATCTTTTCTTGAATTTGCTGACCGTAAAATGTATCGCAAACAGTTCAGAGACAATTCATTTAGACATGCAGCAATGTGTTTGCTACAGGGCAGATGGTTTAGTATATAATAGGAGAGCATGTGGCTCCTGGGTAGTTAACACTGCGTGAAAACAAACACTAAGGACAAACTAAACCAATAAATGTAGGATGGTAGCGTTACAGAGAGCTTGATGGGGTTTTGTAGTTTTCGAGTTCTACCTGTTGCATCACTGCAAAAGAGTCAACTAACCATGACAAACAGTTAGCTTCCAATTCCATCATTTCTATTGTGCTGCCCTCATTCCAAAGTGTAAAGTCTAAAGTAAAGTGTAAGGTAGTGAGATTTTGAACAGCTAGAAGTGTCTTTTAATGACCGTAGATCGACACAGAGAGAATAACATGACAGTCAAGTTTGTTTGGGTGTGAGATCGCCTGAGGTCTTGGCAGAGTTGAGTTTGAGAGGTTTAACACCTTGCAGCTGTAAAGCTCCCTCTGTCTGACCGCCGTCACCTTCTAATCCATCTGAGGTGCATCCCTCAGAGAAAATACTATAAATGTCAAATGCCATAAAACGCCACCACGTCTTCAAAGTAAAGTCTGTCACTTGAAGGTCTGTTTTAGGGGTCTGCGACATGCGGCTTCTGAGCTGCACGTGGCATTTAGTTACATCTACGATGGTTCTTAACAGTTCTGGCCAAAAATAAAAACAAACTGAGAAATGCTTTAGCTCAATTTTGGTAACTTGTTTTGGCAGTTTCTGTGTTTTTAGTCCAAGTCATTATTTTGGGCTGCAGACATTAAGGTGTTTTTTAATACACTTGTTAAAAATCATGTATACATTTTTATTCTGCTATTTTTTGTGTTTTATATATATATATATATATATATA